TCGCCCGCCCGCGCAAAAATCTCTGCTCTCTCTCTGGCCCTGCCCCCGTCCTAACCCGTTCCATTGGCGCTCGAGGTTGCACATTCTCTGTGGGATTTCAGTGTCGTCGCAGCCTTGGGCTGCAGTTGGATGTCGCGATCTGGGAAGATGACCTTGACAGTGTTGGCTAACATGTTGTTGCGATCGTGGTGCCATTTACCCTGAACGTTGTGTTTGTGGTTTCTTGACGCGCTGCGGCCAACGCAGAACCTGCCTCTTCCTCCTCCTCCTCCTCCTCCTCCCTTCTCCCCCCCCTCTTTCCCCTCCTCCTCCTCCTCCTCCTCCTCCTCCTCCTCCTCCCTCCTCCTCCCTCCTCCTCCTCCTCCTTCTCCTCCTCTTCCTCCTCCTCCTCCTCCTTCTCCTCCTGCTGGCAACCCTCCTTGTGGTTTTTGGTATCGCAACATACGATGCCGACTATGATATGCTACGCCGCTGCAGATATACAGCATGTTAGATGCAAATGTTGATGTATTATTGCCGACGCATGGTTTACACTATGTCGTAAACATGTATGCTTGTAATACAATCATATCATGCTACATGTAATATCTGCTTGTAAAACAAGCATTCAGGACCACAGGGAACGGATCGGTTCGACTCCAGTTCGATTTTGGTTCGATTTTATTTCGACTCCAGTTCGATTCAAGTTCGATTCAGGTTCGACTCAAATCCGACTCAGGTTCGACTCGAGCTCGACTCGAGTCGACGGACTTTCGACGCAGCTTCGACGCACGAGTGGAGCGAGTGGCTCCAGGAAGGCCCCCAGAACGAGCATCTGAAGCCTCCCCATGTGCCCAACTACGTGGTGAAAAGCGGCCGTTTCGAACTCTTCGAGTCGCTGGACATTGTGGCCCTGGGGGGCCCAGAAGCGGCAGCGTCTCGAGGCGGACTTCACCGTGGCGGCGAGGAGCTCCCCGGAGGCCCACAGAGCGCCGACAACGCACAGATTCCTGGTTCCTCACGCCTCGGATCGAGATCGACCACGCTCTCGCTCTCGCCTCCGCCCTGCCGCCGAGGGGGCTCCACGCCCACTGGGCGCGGTGACCAAAGCGGGGCCCGCTCGGCTGCCGGCGCGTGCTCGACCGTGGTTTCTATGCTGCGGCCGAACAGGCTCGGACGCCGAATGGGCCTTCTCCTCCTCCTCCTCCTCCTCCTCCTCCTCCTCCTCCTCCTCCTCCTCCTCCTCGTCCTTCCTCCTCCTCCTCCTCCTCCTCCTCCTCCTCCTCCTCCTCCTCCTCCTCCTCCTCCTCCTCCTCCCCCTCCTCGGGACGGACAGTGACAAAAACGCAACAAAAACTCAGATGGCCGCGCGGAGTTCTCGGAGCCGCGCGGGGCCCTCCTGGCGGCGCCTCGGGCTCCGCTCCCGGCGCGCTCCGCGCGCGCCAGGGAGGGGGGTGCAGCGCGGATCCGAGACATCGCGCGGACCTTTGGGTTTTTATGCTTGTGTCAGTGCTCGTTGCCCCAGCTCGTGCACGCGGGCGTGGTTCCCTGCCCCCTCCGCGCGCCCCTGCCCCGAACAGGCACGGAATGCCACACTCGCCCCCCCTTCCGTCCTGTCTGGTCCTGCTGCGGCCCGCCCGGAGCAGATCCCCGGGACGCCTCCAACCCTGGGGTTCCCTTCGCTTTCCGTGCTGTGGCCGCGCGCGGGCAGTGAGAGGCGGAGGCCAGCAGTGAGTAGAGGGGCCGTCCTGCCGTCCAACTGCTGGGAAGGGAGCTCCCGAGACATCCGAAGTTTCGTGCTTGTTCCGCCCCTGGTCTGGGCGTTTTTCCTGGTGCCAGCTTCTCATCCCGACACGTTGTTTGGAGCCTGTCTTCCCTCAGACTTTAGACTCTGTCGAGTTTACTTGCGTGGCATCCCCCCCCTCCAGCGCCTTTTCAAACCCAGCGCTGGGCCGAAAAGGCGTGCAAATCAGTCTCGACTTCCGTGAAGTCTAGATTCACGCCACCCCCTCCCCATGCAAGCAAACATGCCAGAGTCTAAAGAAAACTTGGCCTCGCGTTGACGGTCCCGGGGCCCTGGGAAGGACCCGCAGGATGCCGAAAACGGCCTTTTCCCTTTCGTCGTGCTATTCTCGCGACGCGAGGGGGTCGCCGTACCCACGGCGCTAGTTCGGCCTCGACGTTGCGCTCTCCCGCTCGGAAGCCGCCGCCGTCGTGCGCGGGGTTTTGGGCGCGCGCCTGTTGGGATCAGGGGCGAAGAGACTATTTCTGTTTTGTTCGAGTCGTTGGACCCGTATCGCCCGTTACGGGGCACTCGCCCCCCCCCTAACGGCAACGAAGGTACGGGAGAGGGGGGCTGGCCCCGCCGCGGGTATGGCGCCGTGGTCACAGGCATGGTGTGGTGCTGACAGGCATCGGATGGCCCTCTGACGCCTCCAGGAACCTCCTGCGGCCTTGGGAGACTTCCGGAGGCCTTCAGAGGCGGCCGTCGTTGTAGTCGTCGTCGTCGTCGTAGTCGTCGTCGTCGTCGTCGTCGTCGTCGTCGTCGTCGTCGTCGCCGTCCTTGTCCTCGTCCTTGTCCTTGTCCACGACATCGTCGTCATCGTCGCAGTCGGTTCTAAGGGCCTCGAATGGCCTCCAGGCACCCAGAGGTCTCCAGAGATCTCCTGAGGCCTCTTGAGACCTCTGCAGGCCTTCAAGGCGGGCGTCGTCGTCGTCGTCGCTGTTGCCCTCGCCGTCGTCGTCGTCGTGGTCGTCGTCGTCGTCGTCTTCGTCGTCGTCTTCGTCGTCGTTGACGTCGTCCTCGTCGTCGTCGTCCTCGTTGTCGTCGTCGTCGTCGTCGTCGTCGTCGCCGTCCTTGTCCTTGTCATCGTCCTCCTCGTCGTCGTCGGCGTGTGTCCGAGGCCCTCGAAGGTCTTTCAGACACCTCCAGAGGCTTCTGGAGACCTCTTGAGGCCTCCAGACTTTGGAGACATTCAGAGGCGGCCGTCGTCGTCGTCGTCGTCGTCGTCGTCGTCGCTATCGTTGTCGTCGCCGTCTCTGTCGGCGTCGCCGTCACCGTCACCGTCGCCGTCGTCGTCGTCGTCTCCGCCGTTGTCGTCGTCGTCGCTATCGTCTTCGTCGTCATCGCCATTCTTGTCCTTGTCCACGTCCACGTCATCGTCGTCGTCGTTTCTAAGGGCCTCGAAGGGCCTCCAGGCGCCTCGAGGTCTCCAGAGATCTCCTAAGGCCTCTTGAGACCTCTGCAGACCTTCAAGGCGGGCGTCGTCGTCGTCGTCGCTGTTGCCCTCGCCGTCGTCGTCGTCGTGGTCGTCGTCGTCGTCTTCGTCGTCGTCGTCTTCGTCGTCGATGTCGGCGTCCTCGTCGTCGTCCTCGTCGTCGTTGTCGTCGTCATCGTCGTCGTCGTCCTCGTCCTTGTCATCGTCCTCCTTGTTGACGTCGGCGTCGTCTCCAAGGGCCTCGGAGGTCTTCCAGACACCTCCAATTGCGTCTGGAGACCTCTTGAGGCCTCAAGCCCCTGGAGACCTTCAGAGGCGGCCGTCGTCGTTCTCGTCGTCGTCGTCGTTGTCGTCGTCTTCGTCTGCGTCGTGGTCGTCGTGGTCATCGTGGTCGTCGTCGTAGTCGTCTTAGTCGTCGTCGTGGTCGTCGTCGTCGTCGTCGTCGTCTTCGTCTGCGTCGTCGTCGTAGCCGTCGCCGTCGCAGTCACCGTCGCCGCCGCCGTCGCCGTCGCCGCCGCGTCGTCGTCGTCGTCGCCGTCGTCGTCGTCGCCGTCGCCGTCGTCGTCGTCGTCGCAGTCGTCGTCCTCGTCGTCGTCTGGCGTCCAGCCCGCCCCCCCCCGTGGGACCCGGCCACGTTACCGTTCCCTCCCCACGGAGGCCCGACCTACCCCCTGCGCAACGGACGGTTATGGGGGGAGAGAGACACGTGCCGTCGTGCCCGTGGCTTTCGGGGAGATGCACAGCCAGGGCGTTGACAGAGGGACCATTGTGGTCTCAGGAGGGGCTCCTTTCTTCGGCCCTCCGCTCCTTGGCTTGCGTTCCTCACGTTGGCACGCTGGCTGCATGCATGGCACGAGCTCTGGTGGCACGAGGATGGCCTCGCTGGCTGGTGGGCCACGTTCACGTGCGTGCCTGGGCGCGTGCGATGTTCGTGGGCTCCCTGGGGGAGGGGAGGGGCCAGGGGCAACGTTAGGAGGGCAGAGGCTCAGGGGGGACGCATCGACCCCCAGTCGCCCCTTCATCGCCGATCGGGGCCCAGTAGCCCATCCAGCCCAGGAACGTGCGGATTCGCTATCGAGGTCTGTCGCCGACCTATCGACGTTGTATCGGATGTATCGCCGTATATCCCTCTCTCTATATATATGTACATACACACATCTATTTCTCCTCCTGAGCTGGCCCCTCCCGAACGTCCCCCTCAGGGGGGGGAGCAGCAGGTACTGCCCTGGCGCGCTGTGCTCGCCGCTGCCGCTGCTGCTCCCCTCCGCCCCGTCTTCGTCCTCTATCCTCTCGGATCGGAGAGCGAGGATCAGTGCTTCGGGCAGCGAGGGAGCCTCTTGTAAGCATGCGCCCTCTCGTTGGCGGGAAACGTATCCCGCCTCTTCCTCCTTATTGTCGCCCCCTCTCGGGGGCGACATAGAGGAGGAAGAAGGGGATGAATGGGAGGAGTGGGGGATGGGGAGGAAAAAGGAGGAGCAGGAAGGAGGAGGAGAAGGAGGAGGAGAAGGAGGAGGAGAAGGAGGAGGAGGGAGGACGAAGAGAGAGAAGAGAGGAGGAGGACGAGGAGGAAGGAAGAGGAGGAGGAGGAGGAAAGGAGGAGGAAGAAGGGAGGACAGAGGAGATGGAGAGAGGAAGTGGAGAGAGGTGGAGAAGGAGGAGGAGGCAGACAAAAAAGGACAGATACGAGAGGAGGAGACGGAGGAGGACGGATATGATATGGCTCCTCTCCCTCCTCCTGCTCCTTCCCTCTCCTCCCTCCCTCCATTTCCCTCTCTCCTCCCCCCGCCCCCCCCCCCCCCTGAGGAGACACCCTCCAGCCCGCCGGCCGGCCCAGCCGCCGAGCCTGCGGAGCAAGGCGGCCCGCTCGGGGGAGGCCGCGATCCGTCGACCCTCTCAAGGCCTAAGAACTTCCGCCGACCTGAGGCACGCTGCCGCAGACAGTGCTCGCGTCTGGAACAGCAACTGCCCGCGTAAGGTTGCGCGTAAGCGCCCTCGTCTCCAAATTTGGCGTTCCGCGCCGGCGGCCCGCGTGGTTAAGCCACCGCGTAAGGTCGCTATATGCCATCTCGCGTACGGCCCCTCTCTTTTTCGTCGCCCGGACGGAGACGGAAAGCACGGGTGCGAAGACCAGCAGCAGGTCTTGCCAATCTTGCGCTGGGCTCGCTGGCGGTCGGTGTCGCCGCGGGCGGGGGCCATGCGGGGCCCAGCGCCGCCTGCCTCCAACAGCGGCGGCCGTCGGTCTGAGAACACGCTCGGTGTTAGGGCATCGTGCCCACTCACGTCGTGTCGACCCGCGGGCGGCGACCCCGGCGCGGGCGTGCAAGGTCGAATGCCCCCCGCGGCCCAGAATTGGCCCATCGCTGAACGATCCGGCGTTTCTGAAACGGCCGATCGTTCAAGTTTGAACGATCCCCGCAGTGTCAGGAACCAGCGCCAGGGTCCCGCACGACACGAACCCACGGCACGCCCCAAGACGAACCTAGACCTTCAATGTCCTGCACGGCAGGTTTTTTACAATCTTCGGCCTCCGTTTCTGGGCTTCGGAACTGTCAGGAGACGGTCTGGGATGAAAAACTGGCCCCAGGGAAGGTGAAGGGGGTTCTGGTGCCCGCGCAATCAATCAAACAAATCACGACGTCGGATGCCTGAGAGATTCTTTTGGGAAGGCCTTACGGCCGGTGCCGCCGACCCTGAATGGGGGACGCCGGCGGCGGCGGCGACGACGACGACGTCGATGCTGACGCTCTGGAGCCCTTTTTGGGATTCTCCTGGGAGCCTCTTGGGCTCTGTTGTGGGGCCTCTTGAGAGACTTCTTGGGGAACTCCGTGGTCACTTGGAGCCGTCGCCGAGCGGATCTGAGGACTCTTGGAGGCATGTGGGAAAACACGCAGCACCCCGCAGCAGCAGATAACAGTGAGGAGGGTGCCTCTAGGGGGGCTTCTGGGAGGAGCGGGAGGGGGGGGGTCGCCTTGTGAGGCGGCGGGAGGTCCGGAGTTCCCTTGTCCACAGGGCGACCTCTTCCCTGTCCCTTGTCCACAGGGGGACCCCCCGAAGAGGATGTCACGACCCCCGGCTGGGATCCCCACCGGGGTCCCTCCCCGGGACCCCCCGCCAGCAGGGAAGGGATGAAAGGGAAGGGGCTTCCCTTCGAATCAATGATGACGTTTGATTTCCGTCTGGCTGGATCGCTTGAGGGGGAAGGCCCAGGGAGAGGGGGGGGAGCGGCGACGGCGACGACGACGACTCCAACGGAAAAGCGTCTCACACACGGCGACAGGGTCGGCGGATTTGTATTGTTTTGTCCGCCCTCCCGTGCCGCTCACCCCGCCTCGCTCTGCTCAGGCCGCACCAGGTCACCAGGGTGCCGGTCGGCTCCAGCTCCAGGGCGGCCTCCACCGTCGTGCAGGCCTCGAGGAGCGTGCTGCACGATTCGAGCGGGCACCTGCCCAGCACCGCCGCCGCGGCACGGAGGAGGAGGAGGCGGAGGAGGAGGAGGAGGAGGAGGAGGAGGTGGAGGAGGTGGAGGAGGAGGAGGAGGAGGAGGAGGAGGAGGAGCGAGGAGGAGGAGGCGGAGGAGGAGGAGGAGGAGGCCCTTCGGCGGCGCACGCCGCCCACGCGTGGCGGCCGCGGCGCTCCCTCGGGCGCCCGCCTCCGCTCGTGGCGGCGCGGCCATTTGGCGCCCCGCTCCGCCCTCGGGCCCGGCTCCTCGGCCTCCTCGCTCCGCTCGCTCGCCTCCGGCCTCCCGCCAGCGGGCCCTCCGTCGCCGCCGGGCGCGCGGCGTCGACGGGCGGTGTGCCCTTGGTGTCGCTCGGACGCGTGCACTTTTTCTCGGCGGGGCTTACTGAGGAGCAGCCTGGATCAGCCTGCGAAAAGAGAAGGCCACGCGCGAGGCCGAACAAGGCACAGGGAATGGACGCCCGAGCGAGGGCCAGATGCCAGGCACGGCAGCGGCCGCAGCCGCCCGAACGACCTCCGCCCGAACGACCTCCGCGGCGCCGGGGTTCCCACCGCGGCGGGCTCGGGCGCCGAGCCAAGCAGGCGCGAGCGGAGCTGGGCGGCAGCGAAGGCGGCGGCCACGGCGGCGACGGCGGCGAATCTGCGGCGGCGACGGCGGCGTCGACGAGGGGCCCGTCCGAGGCGGCCTGGAGGATCTGGCGCCGCCGCCCTCGCCATCGGCGGCCTCTGAGCTGGCCGAGAGCCCCGCCGCGAAGGCCCCGACGCGCGGGGGACGACGACTCGGCGGCGCACCCGGCGGGGAAGGCAGAGGGGGTGGGCCTTCTCACCCAGGCCCGCTCGAGTCACGGCTGTTTCCCTGGTGGCAGTTGCGAGTGCCGCAGTCGTGAACGTCGTCTACGGTGGAGCTCCCCATTGCGGGACCACGAAACGGTGCCATTGGGGTCTTCGGTGGAACTCTTTCGAAGTGGCCACGAACCGCGTGAGGGGTGCGGCGCGCGCGCATGCGAACCGTGGCACTGGGGCCTTCCCTGGAGCCCCCTGACGCGGCCGCGGAAAAAACGATGTGGTGTGCTGAGATGAGATGCGCGGGGCGGACGCATTCAAATGACACCGCTGACGCCTTAGTTGGAGCTTTCCCATGGGTGTGCGGCCATGAAGCGTATGAGAGGTGCGCCGAAATGTGCGGCGCGGGCGCATGCGAATGGGACCGTTGGGGCCTTCGGTAGAGCTCCCTATGGGGCCACAAAACATGCGAGGGGTGTGCCGACATGGATGGCTGGGCGCATGCGACCTGCACCAATGGGGCCGTAGGTGGAGCTCACTATGGGGCCAGGGAACGTGTGAGCAGTGTGCCGTAATCGGTAGTAGGGGGCGCATGGGAGTTGCGCCACTGGGACATTCGGTGGAGCTCCCAATGGGGCCATGGAGCGTGTGAGGGGTGTGCGCATGCGAACGGCACCAGTGGGGCCTTAGGTGGAGCTTCCTGTGAGATCACGAGACGTGTGATGAGTGTGCCGAAATGGGTGGCGGGGGCGCATGCGAACGGCACCACAGGGGCCTTTTCGTGGAGGCTCCTATGGGGCCTTAGGTTGAGCTCCCTGTGGGGCCACGAAACGTTTGAGAGGCGTGCCGAAGGGGACCTGCACAGGGCAGCGACAGGGATGGGAGGAGGGAGGAGAGTGAGTCACACGGTCTTTGTTTTTTTTTTCAGCCTCTGAGAGCCCTTACCAGGCGTCGGGACCGTCAAAAAACGGCTCGGGATACAGATATGGTCCCAGGGTATGGGTCGAGACCTTTGGGGCTCGACGTCGTGAACACATCATGATGCTGGAGGTCTGGGCAGAAGGCTCCGAAGGTTCTCGGCCTTCTGGGAGCACTTCCCGAAGCCGCAGAGGGCTTTCCCAATGGGCGCGAGCATCTCCGAGAAGCCCCGCCGCCTTTTGAGAAGGCCTGCCCCTCTTAGGCTTCCCCCCCGGCCGTGCCCGAGACGACGACGACGGTTGTCGGCGCCGACGGTGTCGATTTTGGCTAGAAGCCAACGACGGTGGGCGGTTTCGGCCAGACGCCGCTGACGGCGTGGTTTCGGCCCGGACGGCGCCGACCGGCTTCGGCCGGACGACGCCGACGACGAGGATGAGTCAGTCAGACGGGGTTCATCGGGTTGACCCGAAAGGGGGTCCAGCGACAAGGGGGTGGTGCAATCGATTTGTAGGGTTGCAATAGATTTGGGGCGTGCAATACATTTCGGGGCGCAAATGTATTGCTGCACTTTCGCGTGCGATGCATTATCTGCAGTACAATGCAATACAATTATCCGTCGCAATCGATTTGCAATACAATTACCCCAAATCTATTGCACCACCCCCTTTTCAGCTGGACCCCCTTCTGGGTCACCCAAAGTCCAGCGCAAACGGAGCTCAGGCAGAGAAACGGATCCTGCAGGATGCCGCACAGCCGGCTCGTGGCTGAGCTGGTCTGGGCGCCGCCCTTAGCCTTGGAGGTGGCCTCGCAGTAACCGGCCGAACCGCGGTTTGGAAGGCCCTTTGCAGCGCCGTCTGCATTGGCTGGGCCATGGTTGTGCTGAGCCCCCTTCGGTGGTATGCACTGATTCGCGCAACCTGCTAGTTATCGGAGGTGGATAGACCTCCTACCCTGACGCGTCGAGTCGTGAGTTGGCCGTTTTCGGTTCGCGAGAGGGCGTTGCGGCCGCTATTCTGCGGGTCTAGGTCCGTCGGTTTCGGTCCTAGGTCGTTTTCCCTAACGGGAGGTCTGTCCACCGCCGAAGTTCGTGCGCTGGCGCCCGGCGTCTGAGGCTGCCTGCGCGCTGCTCGAGGCGTGGGTTCTCTACGTCCGAGGCCTCTTCCCTGTTCCTCTTCTACGTCCGCCCGTCTCTCTCTCTCTTCCACTGATCTTGCCCATAGCGCGGCGTGGCTCGCTGGCCATTTGAAAGCGTTTGTGTCCGCTCTCGCTGCTGACAAACAGCATTGCGCTGAGCCAGGCAACTCAAAACCCGTCGTCGGCGCCGGTGGCGTCGATGTTAGCCGGGCGCCGCCGACGGCGAGCGGTTTCGGCCAGACGCCGCCGACGACGAGCGCTGTCGGCTGGGCGATGCCGTGGACGAGGAGGACGGCGAAGTGGAAGACTGCGGCGGCTTGGAGTCTGAGGTGGCCCAGCACTGGTTCCGAGCGGATTTGCCTTCATCACCCCACCAGCTCGGGCCACCTGGCCGCCTCCAAGGTTCAGCTGGCACTGAAGGCGCGCGTCCGCGGTGGAGGGGCCTGGCCCGCTGAGCACTCGAAGAGTATATGCGGGGTGCCTCCCTCGGGAAGGCGTTTTGTTGGCGCTGCCAGGAGTGGCGACATCCCTCAGCAGGCCTGCGACAGGATCACCCATCCAGTCGGCCTGGCCACTGGCGAGGGAAGACCCGAAGTGAAAAAGCTCCACCCGCGGACATCTCCGAGACGGAAGGGCTCGGCCCGCTGCACACTTCGGATGTCGCCGCGCCGTTTGTTCCGACGCGCGGCCTTCCGTCTTGGGGAGGGCGCCTCGGCAACCAGGGCAAACGCTGCCTCGGGCGCGGTGGGTTTGCCGTGGGTTTGCCGCGGTGCCGGCCTCATCTCCTTGGGGCGCGGGGCGCAGGGCTGGCCGCGGGTTTGCCGTGGTGTCGGCGTCGTCCACGTGGGCGCGTCGAGGACGAACGGCGCGGCGACAGATCCCGATGGTCCTCCCGACTCGTGGGGGGCCAAAGATCAGCATCAGCACCAGCTGTTGGAGATCCGCGCGGGTTTCCCCGATTGGCGCTGGCCCCTCCCCCCCGGCGCGCGGGGCGCGCCGCGGGCGGTGCCACGGGCGCTGCCAGGGAGACTGCGCGCCGATCCGCCGATCCACGAAGTCCGCGCGGACCTCCGAGAGCTTGAGCATGCGTCTGTACCTTGTTGCTCTCCTCCTTCAGTATCTGTCGCCGCGCTGTTTGTTCCGACGCGCGGCCCTCCGTCTCGGGGAGGGCGCCTCGGCCTCCGAAGCAAGCTCCGCCTCGAGCGCGGTAGGCCTGCCGTGGGGTCTGCCGCGGTGCCGGCTGCGTCTCCTTGGGCGCGGGGCGCGGGGCTGGCCGTGGGTTTGCCGCGGTGCCGGCGTCGTCCACTTGGGCGTGCTCAGAACGAACGGCGCGGCGGCTAGTGCCTCGAGCTGGAAGCGTGAGAGCCAGCGCTAGAGAAGTCTCCCTCCTGAGCAGGTCGCGTGCGCATGCCGGCCTTGTTGCCCTCTGCTCTCATCTTGCTGGTGCCTCCTGCTGAAAAATCTGGCCCTCCTCCTCCGTCCTTCACCGACGACGAGCACCACCACCACGAGGACTACGACCACGACGACAACGACGACGATGACGACGGCGACTGCGACGGCGACGGCGTTGGCGAGGAGGAGGACGACGACAAGAACGGCCACAGCGAGGACGACGACCGTCGATGATGACGGGGACGTCGACGTCGTTGACGTCAAGCCCGGGTTTCTGGAGGCTTAAGAGGACTTGTGGTGATAGTCCGAGCGCCAGAGGACCTCGATCCTCCTCGACCTTCCTATTTCTTCCTCCTCCTCCTCCTCCTCCTCCTCCTCCTCCTAATCGTCCTCGCCTTCCTCCTCCTCCATCCTCTTCCTTCTTCATCTTCTTCCTCCTCGGCTCCTCGAGGTTCTTGTCTCAAGGCGTTTGCCCGAGCGCAGGCAGCTCGATCCTCGGGCCCGTCGATATGTTCGGGCCCCTGGGGCCCAAACATATGCCCATATCTACCGCCCCCTGGGTCCCAAGACGTCGGTTCCCAAGTCGGTGGATATGGACAACCCCCCGCCTCGCACCTCCGCCCCCTCGATCGACTTCCACCTCCTCCTCCTCATCCGCACCATCATCATCATCATCATCATCATCATCATCATCATCATCATCATCATCATCATCATCATCATCATCATCATCATCATCATCATCAGCATCATCATCATCATCGTCATCATCATCATCATCAGCAGCATCAGCATCAGCATCATCAGCATCATCGTCGTCGTCCTCCTTATGATCATCAGCATCATCAGCATCATCAGCATCTTCTTCTTCATCATCATCATCATCATCAGTATCATCATGTTCATCATCACCGTCATCAGCATCAGCAGCAGCATCATCATTCTCGCTTTCATCACCATCATCAGCACAATCACCAACATCAACATCATCAGCATCAGCACCATCACCATCACCATCATCATCATCATCATCATCATCATCATCATCATCATCATCATCATCATCATCCAACGCCCCTCCTTGTCCTCTTCCTCGACGGTGGCGTTGGCCGCGTTGATGACGTTCGAGGTTGTAGGCTGGTGTTTTCGACGATTGTCGATCCAGTGGTGTGCTGAAGGGCCCTGCAGCTGCTCTGGATCTCAAGACTGCGGCCAGGAACTTTGGCTTACCGTGTCGCCTCGCCAGTTCTGGCCCACCACGCTGCGGCGCGACACGCTGTCCACGTCTCTGATCCCCAGGCGTCAACATCTCTAGCTGTTAGCAGCCCCCCGCCCCGCAGAGCGGAGCGACACGCTTTCCGCTCGCAAGGCACAGCGTGTTGCTGGGGCCGCCGCCGCGACACTCTATGCAAAAGCACCCGGCCGTAAACATTCGGAGGTCTGCGCAGATTCTTGAATCCGCGCAGGACCCCCTTGCCTGGCGCGCGGAGCGCGCCAGGTGCGGCGCCGGAGGCGCTGCCGAGGGGCCCAGCGGTACGAGGTGGCTTTGGGGACCAGCGCGAGCCAGCCCGACGCCCTCCCGTTCCAGCTGCGGAGCGATCTTGACCCCCCCCCGTCTTCTCCTCGGCCCACCCCGCTCGCTGCCCCGAAAAGTTTTGTTGGCCCAGGCGGCCTCTTGCCGCCTCGCAGCCGCCCCCTCGACGCGCCAAGCCAGCGCATCCGACTGTAAATCACTGTGGAGGGTTGGCCGGCGAAGCCCGGGAGCAGATTTGGACTCCGCGCAGGTCGGGGCTCACCTGCAAGCCTCTTCGGGCCAGCGCGGCATGCAGAGCGGAGCGGGCGGGGAGGTGCCAAGCGAGTAACACTGCCAGAGGCCGAATAGCACTGCGCTCTTCTTCAAACCAGAACAAGTCTGCCAGTTCGACCCGCAGATTCAGACAACGGTTCGACCCGCAGCTTCAAACACCGGTTCGACCCGCAGTGTCGAGGCCGTCGCTGGCGCCCGCGCGCGCGCGCCCGACCGCCAGGCGCCGCGCACGCCGCGCTGCGGCGCCCGGCCCTCGGAGGTGTTGCGGAGCGCGCTCACGAGGAGGGAGTCCCAGGACGGCGCCGCCGCCTCCTCCTCCTCCTCCTCCTCCTGCTCCTCCTCCCCGTCCTCCTCGTCCTCCTCCTCCTCCTCCTCCTCCTCCTCCTCCTCCTCCTCCTCCTCCTCCTCCTCCTCCTCCACCCCCGCAAAGCGCCCTCAAAGCAGCAGGTGGGAAGAGACGTGTCGAGGAGCGGGGACCTCAAGGTTTATGATGTTCTAGCCTACTTTAGCCTTGACCACCAGAAAGAATTTCGAGCACGGAGCAAAAAAAGTACCGAAGCTCGAGGGTTTTGGCGTGCCGGGCCCTGGGGGGCACTCGTCCGACACTCTCTCGGCGCTCTTCCGACACTCCTCCAGGTGCTCGAGAAATTATTTCTGGGAGGTGGTCCTCAAGTGCGATGGGAGCAACATGCAATGCCGTTTTTTATACATGCTCCGCGTGCGGATCCTGTGTTAAGAATGCAGGGATCTAGTATCAAAACCAACGATGAGTTCATGCGTAAGTCTATTCGTAGATTAACCATGTACTAAAATCCCATATGTTTTAAACTCCCATGTGTTAAAAGCTGCCCTGTAAACCTCAAGGCGTGTTTTGTCGGAGGGAGCGTGGCCGTCCGGGCCGCACACGGCGAGAGCACGATCTCCGAGTGGCTTCGGAGGAGGCCTCGGGCGAAGCGGCCGCCAGGCCGGGGCGGCCTCGGGCTCCGCGCCCCCCGTGCATGGGACTCCTCTTCCGTGGCATTGGTTTGCTGCCTTGACTACGTCGGGCCTGCCCCTCTGCAGGAGGAATGTTCGAAAATCCTGTAAAAATTGTCAGGGGACGATTTGTTGACAATTCTTGAGGATCTTGGTGTATTTTTTGACTATTTTCCTCTTCGCCGTGTGGGACTCTTCCGTGGCATTGGCTTGCTGCCATGACTAAGTCGGGCCCGTCCCTCTGCAGGAGGAATGTTCCAAAATACTCAAAAAAATGGTCTGGGGACGATTTTTGGCAATTCTTGAGGATCTTGGGGTCTTTTCTGACTTTTTGACTATTTTCCTCCTCGCCGTGTGGGACTCTTCCGTGGCATTGGCTTGCTGCCCTGACTAAGTCGGGCCCGTCCCTCTGCAGGAGAAATGTTCCAAAATACTCCAAAAATGCTCTGGGGACGATCTTTTGACAACTTCTGAGGATCTTATGGTATGTTTTGACTATTTTCCTCTTCGCCGTGGCATTGGTTTGCTGCTATAACTAAGTCGGGCCCGTCCCTCTGCAGGAGGAATGTTCCAAAATACTCAAAAAATGCTCTGGGAACGATTTTTTTACAACTTCTGAGGATCTTGGGGTATGTTTTGACTATTTTCCTCTTCGCCGTGGCATTGGTTTGCTGCTATGACTAAGTCGGGCCTGCCCCCCTGCAGGAGGAATGTTCCCAAATACGCAAAAAATGCTCTCGGGACGATTTTTTGACAACTTCTGAGGATTTTGGGGTATGTTTTGACTATTTTCCTCTTCGCCGTGGCATTGGTTTGCTGCTATGACTAAGTCGGGCCTGCCCCCCTGCAGGAGGAATGTCTGGGGACGATTTTTTGACAATTTTTTAAGATCTTGGGGCATTTTTTGGCTATTCCCCTCTTCGCCGAAAATCCGCCTGTAGGGGGACACGCCCGACCTAATGCAATGAGAGGCCTCGAGGGAAACGTTGTTGAGGAACAGCCGCGACATTCCGCGGCGTCGGTCGGCCACGCGCGAGGGAGGGCTTCTTAGAAGCACCCCTGCTTCTTAGAAGGCGCGGGCCTGCTCTGTAGGTGTAAGGCCGGCGCCTGCTCAGAAGCAGCCTCCTCCTACGAAGCCCTCCCCCCTCGTGCGCACTTCCAAGTCGGTGGTCTGGTCTGGACCCACCTCCTGTCGGCCGGAAGATCCACGCTGCGGCGGGCCCGGGTGTGGCCGAGGTGTGGCCGGCTGGCCCGGGGATCCGGAGGGTGGAATGCGGAACACAGGGGGGGCCTCGGGTCAGGGGCGACAGCTCATGCTGTGAAGCTCTGATGTGCCGCAAGCTGATGTGTGGGAACGGCTCCGCGACAAAAATGCCCTGGAAGGCAAACAAATAGTTTGACACGGTTGTATACGGCGGAGGCGCTGCGCGCTCTGCGCCCGAGAGCGAAAACAAACAATTGTCAATGGTGATTGTGGCGGGGAACTGGTCGAAGATTGGTTTGCAGACGGGAGACTGAAGGCCGCATTGTTTAGGTAAGGGAGCATCGGCCAAACGTGCCCCACGACATGAATCAAGAAGCTGAATCGAAGCAAGGCTGTGTAAGGTGCAGCAGCCCCGCCAGGCCTTCCTTTTGAAGGAGCTTGCTGACCCCTCCTTTTTGGGACCCGTGTGGCTCTGTGCAGGGATCCGTCGGCCAGCACCGTGGCGGTGTGGCAGCCACTTCTTGCCCGGGGCGTGCGTCCCCCGTCCGAGAACGATCCCAGGAGGAAGAGCTGGTCCTGGGGGAGGCGATGTGGCAGCCACTTCTTGCCGGGGGGGTTCGTCCCCCGTCCGAAAACGATCCCAGGAGGGAGAGCTGGTCCTGGGGGAGGCGATGTGGCAGCCCGGGGGGTTCGTCCCCCGTCAGCAAGCAGTCCCAGGAGGAAGAGCTGGTCCTGGGGGAGGCGGTGTGGCAGCCACTGCTTGCCTGGGGGCGTGCGTCCCCCGTCCGAAAGGAATCCCAGGAGGAGGAGCTGGCCCTGGGGGAGGGCCTCCGGGTCCAGGACCCACCTCCCTCTGGACCCTTCTCTTTCGCGTTGACTCTAAGTCGGGCCTGTCCCTCTGCAGGGGGGATTTTCAAAAATAGTTGAAAAATGCTATGGGGACTATTTTTGGAGTATTTGTTGACCATTTTGGAGTATTGTTCGAGTATTCTTTGTTCTTCGTCGAATATCCCCATGTAGAGGGACAGGCCCGAAATTATTGCGTTGACTCCCCCATGGACTGCGCGGGTTGGCCGGTGCGAGACGGAGGCGACGCTGCAGGAGCACAGCCGGGTGCTGCCAGGGCCGTTTTTTCCAGTTCGCGTCGTCCTCATGAATTTGTTGTTCATTGTCGTTGTTCGGCGGCGAGCGAGGGGGGGAAATGAGAAGGAGAAGGCCTTCTCAGAAGGCGGCGGGACTTCTCAGAAGGCCGGAGGCCTTCTGAGAAGTTTTTTCTGTCCTCGGGGAAGGCTTGGAAAACTTCTCAGAAGTCCCGGGAACTTCCGAGCCTTCTGAGAAGGCCTTCTCCTTCTCCATTCCCCCCTGGGCTCGCCGCCTAGTTGTGTTCCTGACAGGTTGTTCGGTGTGCTCGTCGGAGTGCTCGTCGGCGGGCGGCCGCCGGCAAGCGGCCGCTCGGGCTGCTGCCAGAGGCGGCCTGGGCCCAGGGTGGCCACCAGCCTCTCTCGGGAGGCCCACGCTCAAAGGAGGAAAAGGCACACACACACACACACACACATACACACCGCGTTTCTCGCCTCACTTTCTCTCCTCTTTGGGCCTCCTGGAAGGCCCTCGTCGCCACCGCTGGATTCGCCTCGAGCTTCTGGTCAGAAACGCACCCTGGGAGAGGACCCGAGGAGTAGCGGTGTCGGCACCTGCCGGTGTCCCCACGCGTGGCCTCCGGAGCACCTCCTCGCGAGGCGGCCCCACGAGGAGGGAGGCAGCCACCGAGGAGGGGGGAGGCCCGCAGCGGGCGACGCCGGCGAACGGCGATGGTTGCAGAAGAAGCATCTGCCCACATCGGGGGCGGAAAAGAGGGGGGTGATGACTAGGGGGGGGTGGATATCATGGTGCGGGCCATGATTTTTCCTCAGATTTCATGGCGCCTCTTCTTATTTCATTGCGTCCCAGGCCCCCCCGCTGGGCCGCGCACGTGCCGCCGGTCATGATTTGCACCCCCTCCCTTCTTGGACACCCCCCTCTTGGCCGCTCCCGAACAAACACAAGCTTTCGGACTCCATCGCCACCGTCGCCGTCGCCGCTGGCAGGATCAGTCAACGTCGACTCGGGAAGCCGGATCGATTCGGACTGCGTGTCGAATCAGGCCGCATCGGCACGGAGTCGGAGTCGGAGACGGCTCGGCCACGCCAGGATGCAGAACAGCGCCATGCGAGCCTCGGGCCGCATCGGACCGTCAGACCATCGGAGGTCCGCGCGGACCTCCTGAATCTGCGCGTGGGCCCCCCGGCGGCGCGTCCGTGGCCGAGAACCTGCGGCAGAGGCGTTCGGCACGGGCTGTGGGAGTGTGCCTGGAAGGCTTCGGACTCTGGAGGATGCCTTGTCTGATGAGGGTGGCGCTGAGATCCAATAGGGGGCCACATGCGAGCCCCCCCCCCCCCTCAGAAATCGTGGGGGGCAGGGGTAGGGTTCGCATGTGGCCCCCTATCGAAGGTCAAGCCGCAATTGGCCTTCTCCAGTGGTTCCTCATCCAGTGCCCTCACCGTGCGTGTGTGGAGATTGTTCACCTCCTGGACGGCGGCTCGGGTGCGGCCAGACGCGGCCCCAAGGCCAACCCGGGCCTCCAGAGGCTCGAACATAGAGACTTTGAGGGTTTTCCGCGCTTTCGGCGTCCAGAGGCCCTTTTCGGACACGGGGGTTGTCAAATGACGATGCAGGGCGAAAGGCCGGTCCCAGGGAAAGGCTCGATCGGTCCGGGGCCCCGCGGCTGCAAAATATAGAGTCGTCGGAGGTCTGTGAACCACCCGTCGCGAGGCCCAGAGGGCCCGAAAGTGGCTCCAGAGTGGCGCGAAGCGGGCTCGAGAAGGCGTGCCAGGTACACTTGATCGCCAGCTCGTTGAACTTGCGCACGTTCGTGGTATGCCTGTCCGCCATTCGTCCTCTCAGCTGTCCCCTTTCTTCTCCAAGAGGCTGGCAAACAAAAGCAGACTGGCGCGCAACTGCGGGGGGGCACCCCAGGCCTGGAGCGCCCTTTCGCGCCGGGCGGCCGCGATGCCGAGGGCGGCGGCGACGACGACGGGAACCCTTCGCGAGGAGGGATGGCAGGTCGAGTCCCGCAAGCAGTGAAGCAGACAGCGGGCCGCACCCGTTTTGCGAATTCAGGCACGGGGGCGCAAGCGGGCGAGAGGCGAGGAGAAGGAGGGCCGCGGGACGACCAGAGGCTCCACACATCGGCGGTTCTGGAGGAGGATGCCAGCGCAGACTGCGCCATGGCCAGACTTCGTCGACGGAGACCTGCGCCGGCGGACCAGGCGAACGGAGGCTCCGGGTCGTCGTGCAAGTGCGCGAGAGACACGCTGCATTCGCCACTTGCCTGGGGAGCACTTCGCCTCCACGCTTCTCGGACTCGCCGCCGTCACTCAGAGGCTCTGCAGAGCTGGCTGCCGTGGAGAAGTTGGCGCGCCATGAGGACAGGAGGAGGAGGAGGAGGAGGAGGAGGAGGAGGAGGAGGAGGAGGAGGAGGAGAGCGAGGAGGAGGAGGAGGAGGAGGAGGAGGAGGAGGAGGAGGAGGAGGAGTGGTTCCCGAGAGAGCAGGGTTGTGAGGGTTTTCGCTGGTTTCGGGAAACGCCGGGCCCGCCCTGCCGACACGCGTCGTGGTGCGACAGGGAGGAGTTGCTTGCAAGGAGGAGGACTGGAGGAGGAGAGCTCAGGCCCTTCACCCCCCCCTTCCCCCCCCCACACACACCACACACACACACACACACACACACACACACACACAACACACACACACACACACACACACACACACACACACACACACACACACACACACACACACACACACACACACACACACACACACACACACACACACACACACACACACACACACACACACACACACACACACACACACGCCCATCCCCTGGGAGAGCCCTGCTGATGGGAAGGAGGGGCTGGGGACAAGGGCAGCGGTGCTCGAGGAGGAGGCCCGTAACGCGGAGTCCTCCTCCTCCTCCTCCTCCTCCTCCCCCCTGCACGCCGTGCGTACTCTAAAACCTCGCGGGCCCGCCTACTCTGCCGCCTCTCGTTGCCTTCCTGCTTCCTATGCGCAGCGTGCGGATGCACGTCTTTCTGAGTTGGCCACGTCGCCAAAGTTTGATGTGTCTTTCAACGTAGACGCTTAGATCACATATCTTCCAAGCAACGTAAAAAGGAGTAGGAGGCCAAGCCGGCATTACGGGTTGCTGCCAGAGGCGCGGCCTTGTGGCCATCCCAGACCTCCAGAGGGTCGAACATACACAGTGGTTGGCTTTCCTGCACTTTTCGGCCTCCAGGAGCTACTTCCGGACTTGGGGGGGCGGTCAGACACACTTCAGGGTCGAGTGGTCCGAGGCCGGGGGCCCCGGGACTCGAGAAGACCGAGTCGGATGAGGTTTGGGGAGCATTCCTCGTCGTCGTCGTCGTCGTTCGCTGTCGTCGTCGTCGCCCGCGGCGCCGCCCAGGAAATCGAGGCGCAGGAGCTCGATTTCGTCTGGAACGGCGGGGACCGGCCGCTGTCGGAGAAGTCCGGCTGGAGGAGGCGGGCGCCCGACTCGCGGCGGCCGCGGTCGGACCGCGCCCTCGTCCTCCTCCTCCTCGTGCCCCTCCATCTCATTCCTTCTGCTCCGTCTCGTCCTCCTCCTCCTCGTCCTCCTCCTCGTCCTCCTCCTTCTCGTCCTCCTCCTCCTCCTTCTCGTCCTCCTCCTCCTTATATTCCTCCTCTTTCTTCCCCTTCTCCTCCGCGCCTTCTACTCCTCCTCCTCCTCCTCCTCCTCCTCCTCCTCCTCCTCCTCGTCCTCCTTCTTCTCGTCCTTTCCTCCGCCTTCTCCTCCTCCTCCTCCTCCTCCTCCTCCTCCTCCTCATCATCATCAACGCAATCCTCACCGTCGCACCCCGAGACCAGTCGGAAGGGCGGGCCGGGTGGTTCGCTTGAGCTTATGTTGCCGCTCGTGATCCTGAAGCTGAGAAGTTGCAAGAGCTTCACAATGGGGGGGCAGGCGGTCTTCAAAGCGTGGCTCTCGCTCTCGCGCCGCGACCATTCGTTCTAAAAGTTTGCGAGAGTTGTGCGGATTGAGGGCGGGCCGTTTCCAAATTGTGGTGATCCAAATATTTGCTTATCTATTTCCCTTCAAAAACACAAGTTTCCAACAGGTGGTTAGCGCTTCAGCGCCGCGCACCATCTTGTTAGCACATTGCAGGATTTTCACGGATTGAGGGCAAATGTGGTTCTCGCCTCAGCACCGCGCAAATTCGTTTCAATAATTGCAAGAGCTTCACGGTTTCAGGGCGGTTCCTTGTCAAAGTGTGGTTCTCGTTTTAGCGGCGCGCACACTCCTCTTCAACATTTGCACGAGTTTCACGGATTCCCAAGGTTAGCGTACCAGGAAGGTGTTTTGGAACGGTTCAGGATTGCCAGGGCGCGGCAGCTACGTTGATTAACGGTGTTGGAGTCCCAGGAGCGGCGTTCTGGCACGATTCAGGATCGCCAGGACGAAACGGTCAAGCTGAATCGTGGTGTCCGAGTCTCGAGAATAATGTTTTCTCACGTTTCAGGATCTGCAAACAGTGGTTTCCCAACGGGGCACTTCCTTCAGTGGGAATGAATCCTTTGTAGGGGCCTGTGAAGAGGGAGCTTGGAGGGAGGGTTTATTCCAACATCGTTGACGAGTTCTGGATTTGCAATGTTCCTCCTCCTCGTCGTCCTCCTCCTCCTCCTCCCCAGTGCTCGGCGGGGCGGACAGGCTGATTCCAGTGCTTGTCCTCCTCCTCCCCGTCCTTCTCGTCCTCGTCCGCCTCGTCCTGGAGATGCCAACCAATCACGACGGCACCAACGCCGCGACATCAGCGACGTCGCGTGGCTTACAGCAGCATTGGACACGGAGTGGCGGGATTTACAGGAACAGGGAGAGCAGACAGAGATACACGAAAACACTAAGGGGAAGAGAGGAGGAGGAGGAGGAGGAGGAGGAGGAGGAGGAGGAGGAGGAGGAGAATGAGGAGCAGGAGGAGGAGTAGAATGAGGAGCAGGAGCAAGGAGGAGGAGGAGGAGGAGGAGGAGGAGGAGGAGGAGCAGGAGCAGGAGCAGGGAGGAGGAGGGGGAGGAGGAGGAGAAGGAGGAGGAGGATAGCACCGCGGAGAAAAGTTCCGAGGCGGCCACGGTCGCCCTGCGCAGGCCACTCACTGCCCGGCCCGCCCTCTCCGCGGGGGACGCCTTGCGCGTCGTTCGTGCGCTCGCTCGCGCTGCGTCCTCGTCGTCGTCCCCTTTCTCCTCGTCGTCGTCCCCTTCCTCGTCCTCGTCGTCGTCTCCTTCCTCGTCGTCGTCCCCTTCCGCGTTCGCTCTGCATCCTCGTCGTCGTCCCCTCTTCCTCCTCCCCTGTGCTCGGCGCCGCGGACAGGCCGATCTCAGGGGGCTGGAGCTCTCGTGCCCTCCTGGACCCCTATGTCTTCCCCCCTTCCCCCCACCCCGCCCCTTTACATGTATGCAGCTTTGCCGCACCGTCATGCCTTAGTGGGCCCTGGAAATGACGTGACTCCTTTTTGCCCAGAAATAATAGTTCCTTGATGTTGAAAGCGGGGAGAACTGCTCACCGAAACTGTAAAAAGAAACAGTTCGCCGAAAGGGTCGAGCTAGTCCAGGGATCCGAAGAACGTTGGGGACCGGCTCGTAAACGGATTGGATTTTGCACAACAGTTGCGTGTCGGACCAGGCCCCCACCAGGGGAGACGAAAACGGTCAAACAACGGCGCCGGAAACGACATCACATTGCGCCAGAAACGGTGACAAAAACAGGACACTCAAAATTGTAAAACACTGCCTTGCCGTTCCCAGGGCACTAAGCACTGGGCACCAGACGTGCCGCCAGGGCGTGTCGGGCTTCCTCACTGAGGCCCCCTCACCGTTTACGACCTCGCAGTCTCGAGTTTCCAGCAGTTGCACTGACGGATGGCGAGCCGGTTTCAGAGTGCGGTTCTCTCGCCCCCTGGCGCCGGGCGCGCTCGTCTCCACAACCATCCAGCAGCGGGCGGAGGACGTGCCCTTGGGTGCCCTCGCCTGAGACTTCCCTGAATGCTGGATTGTCGCCTGAGATGTCGCCTCTTATCTCCAAGGATCGAGGTTTGTGCCGCGGCTTGTGCCCTCGCCTGAGACTCCCCTTACACGTGCTACCACATGTGTAAGCCAGTGCGAAAGGTTCACGGATGGAGAGCGGCTCCCTTTGAATGCTGGATTGTCGCCTGAGATGTCGCATTTTATCTCCAGGGATCTAGGTTTATATGCTCGTCTCCATAAAAATCCAGCAGCGGGTGGAGGACGTGCCCTTGGGTGCCCTCGCCTGGAACTTCCCTGAATGCTGGATTGTCGCCTGAGATGTCGCCTCTTATCTCCAGGGATCCAGGTTTATGTGCAGCGGTTGCAGGGAGGGAGGGGCGGCTCCTTCCTCTTCGAGGCGGGGCCGTCGCGGGGTGCGTTCTCCAACCCCACGTGCGGCCCCGCCCTGTCGCGCTCCTGTTCGGCGGGGGGCGAGGGGGGGAAGCGAGGAGGAGAAGGCCTTCTCAGAGGGCTCGGAAGCTCCCCGGCCCTCTGGGAAGTCTCCTGCGCCTCCCCCGAAGACGCAAAAAACACTTCTCTCAGAAGGCGCGAGGGCTTCCGAGGAGCCCCGCCGCCTGCCGAGGAGGCCTTTTCTCCTCCTCGCTTCCCCCCCTCGCTCCCCGCGGGCCTGTGGCCGCTGCCCCGGAGGGCGGATAAGGGGGCCACATGCGAACCCTACCCCTAGCCCCCACGAGTTCTGAGGGGGAGGGTGGGGTTCACTTCGTTCGGGAGCTGCCGAGCGGAGTGAACCCCACCCTCCCCAGAACGCGTGGGGGGTAGGGGTCGGGTTCGCATGTGGCCCCCTAGTGGAGGGCAGGCTCTTCCCGAGCGGAGCTCCCGCCGGACGCGCGCGGCCCCGGGGGGGCGCCCGTGCTCCAAGAGGGGCGCCCCGCCCGGGGGCAGAGCAGCGCACGTGCGGGGCCCAGCGGGGACCGGGGACTTTCGGTTGCGGAGGACGATCCATGGAGAGGAAGCATGTTGCCAAATGATTTCCGGGTGTCTAAAACATGTAACAAGACATGTTTTAAACATGCAAGACACATGCTCAACACGTGTTTAGAACATGTTTCCGACATTGTAAACACATGTTAAGCTCAATGATCGAATTGTCAGGGTGTCCATTGTCGTGGCGTCCACAACCACGGGGGCGCCCCGCCCAGTGGCAAGGAGAGCACATGTAGGGCCCAGTGGGGAGGGGACCTCGGACGGGAGGGAGCACTGCAGCACACCTCGCCCTGAGACGAATCCCTGGGGGCATCGCGCCTGTGACCGTCCCGTCACCTCGAAGGGTGGGGGGGCAGGCTCTTTCTCGACGGAGCTCCCGCAGGGAGGCCCTCCGCCTTCCAAGGGGGGCCCTCCGCCCAGTGGCAAGGAGCGCCTGTACAGTGCCGTTTTTCTGATACATGCTCCGCGTGCGGATCATATATTAAAATGCAAGGATTCAGTATCAAAATCATCGACGAGTGCATGCATACATTTATTCATACATCGATCATGTATACAAATCCGATGTTATTTAGAACATATCCCGGCAAAGCAACCTAACAGCGATGTGTATAAACATAACTGGAAGCATTCCCCTGAAGATTCAGGTGAGAATCCAGTTTCAGAATTCTGCTGTTCTCGCAGTCGCAGTCGCATTCGCAATGACAGTCGCAGTGGCAACGGCCTTAGGATCCAATGGATTCCTAAGGATTCCTAGGGATTCCTAAGGATCCCTAAGGATTCCTAAGGCATCCTTAGGCATCCTTAGGCATCCATAGGAATCCTTAGGAAACCTTAGGAATCCTTAGGAATCCTGATTCCAAGGGATTCCTAAGGATTCCTGGGGAATCCTAAGGATTCCTAAGGGTTCCTGAGGATGCTTAACTACGCCTACGGATTTCTAAGAATGCCTGCGGATTCCTAGGGATTCCTAAGGATTCCTATGGATTCCTACGGATGCCTCAGCCTGCCTCAGTTTCAGCTTCAGCCTCAGCCTGCCTCGGCTTGCCTCAGCCTCAGCCTCAGCCTGCCTCGGCCTCAGCCTCAGCCTGCCTCAGCCTCAGCCTCAGCCTCCTCGGCCTCAGCCTGCCTCAGCCTCAGCCTCAGCCTGCCTCAGCCTCAGCCTGCCTCAGCCTCAGCCTCAGCCTCAGCCTCAGCCTGCCTCGGGCCTCAGCCTCAGCCTGAGGCCTGCCTCGGCCTCAGCCTGCCTCGGCCTCCCCTCCCCCCCCCTTCCCCCCCCCCCATTCAGCCTCACCTTGTCTCAGCTTCGGCCTGCCTCGGCCTCAGCCTCAGCCTCAGCCTCAGTCTCAGCCTCAGCCTGTCCCAGCCTGTCTCAGCCTGAGCCTGCCTCAGCCTCAGCCTCAGCCTGCCTCAGCCTCAGCCTGCCTCAGCCTCAGCCTCAGCCTGTCTCAGCCTCAGCCTGCCTCAGCATCAGCCTCAGCCTCAGCCTCAGACTGCCTCGGCTTGCCTCGGCCTCAGCCTCAGCCTGCCTCGGCCTCAGCCTCAGCCTCAGCCTGCCCCAGCCTCAGCCTCAGTCTGCCTCAGCCGCCGCTTGCCTCAGCCTCAGCCTCAGCCTCAGCTTCAGCCTCAGCCTCAGCCTCAGCCTGCCTCAGCCTGCTTGCCTCAGCCTCAGCCTCAGCCTGCCTCGGCCTCAGCCTCAGCCTCAGCCTGCCTCAGCCTCAGCGTCAGCCTCTCAGCCTCAGCCTGCATCAGCCTCAGCCTCAGCCTCAGCCTGCCTCAGCCTCAGTCTGAGCCTGCCTCAGCCTCAGCCTGCGTCAGCCTCAGCCTCAGCCTGCCTCGGCCTCAGCCTGCGTCAGCCTCAGCCTCAGCCTGCTTCAGCCTCTGCCTGCCTCAGCCTCAGCCTCAGCCTCAGCCTCAGCCTGCCTCGGCGTGCCTCAGCCTCAGCCTCAGCCTGCCTCGGCCTCAGCCTGCCTCAACTCGGGTTTTAAAATATGGCACAGGACTTGTGCTCTGGGAGCACGAAGATCACGAAGTGGCCCACAGTTGGCAATCAAAATATTGTACAGGAGTGGAGTTTTGGGAACACGAAGAACACGACGTGGCCTACAGTTGGCTCCAGGCATTCAAAATGTGTCCTGGGAGTTGTGTTCTGGGAACACGAAGATCACGAAGTGGCCTACAGTTGGCTCCGGGCATTCAAAATGTTGCCTGGGAATGGTGTTCTGGGAGCACGAAGAATACGAAGTGACCTACAGTTGGCTCCGGGCATTCAAAATGTGGCCTGGGAATGGTGTTCTGGGAATGGATTCCGAACGATTCCCAAGAATTCCCAAGGATTCCTAAGGATTCCTGGGGCTGACCCTTTTGTCCGGATCCCGCCCAGACCCCCCTGGGGCGTCAAGATGCTCTCTTTTGATCCCACTAGAAGCCTATAAGCAAAAGCTGTTAGGTCAACATCCGATGTCTTAGAAACGGCACTGTAGGGCCCAGCGAGGAGGGGACCTCGGACGGGAGGGCGCACTGCAGCGCACCCTCGCCCCGAAGCCCTGCCTGGGGGCCCTCGCGCGGCGGGCCATCATTGGCACATCTCGTCCGCACGTCCGCCCCATGAGATGTGGGATCGATGGAGGGGCGGCTGTGGGCGGAGGGGTCCGGAGCCTTGAGACGAGCCTCCTCCTCCTCCTCCCCCTCCTCCTCCGCCTCCTCCTCCTCCTCCTCCTGCTCCTCCTCCTCCTCCTCCTCCTCCTCCTCCTCCTCCTCCTCCTCCTCCTCCCTCCTCCCCCATCCCCCTCCTCCTCCTCCTCCTCCTCCTCCTCCTCCTCTCCTCCTCCTCCCTCCTCCTCTTCCTCCTCCTCCTCCTCCTGCACACGGGGGTCAGCCACGGCGCCGGATCCTGCAGGATCCTGCGAAGACCCCCTCTGGCTGACCCGGGTTTTAGCGAGCCGCTCGTGGCCGCGAGGCGGCCGCACACAGATTGGCTGGCCCGGGTCTGCGGAGGCCTGCGCTGCAGTGTTTTATTCCCCTGCATTTCGCAGGCCTAGAGATTGACACCAACACCAATATCGGCGGTGTGCCTCCACCGAGAGAAGAAGTTCCCGATCTCGGTGATGGTGGTAATATTCTGGTTTCCAGGGTGGCCGAAGTATTACCACCAACACTGAAATCTAGGATCATCTTCCCCCTGCGGAGGCACCCCCCTGTGTTGGTATTGGTGCCAATTTCCAGGCCTCCAAGCATTGCAGTTTTTGGTTTCCTGCTGACCCGGGTCTGGATTGACCTGGGTCAGCAGATCCCCGAAGGTGGGGCTGGGGGAGCGGGCAGCACCACCCACAAGACCACCCCAACCCAGCCCGAAGGCTTCAATTTGCCCTCCATCTCCAGTGTGGGGGGGGGCGGAGGACATTCCAAAACACATGGGACCCGTACCCCCGCAAACCCGAAATTCGGGTCAAATTCGGGCCTTCGGGTTGGGTTGGGGTGGTCTGGTAGGTAGTCAGGGCAGGACCCAGACCTCCGACGTCGCGTTTCTGTCGCGACGTGGACCCCCAGAGGTCCCGACCCGGCAGCTCCCACCGATTTCCTCGTTTGTATTGGCGGCCCTGGGGCCTGGTGCGAGGCCCCGAGCCCAGAAGCTGCCAAACAGAAGTGTTCGTCGTGATTTCCTTGTCCAGACGCGAGGATGTCTGGGGAGGGATAGGCTTGGGTCGGGCATGTCCACCTACAAGCTGATTTTGGAGGAAGAGTGAAACATAGTCGAAACTATCCCAAAATACCAAAAAATATTCAAAACGTCGCCCCCTGACTTTTACTTTTTGCTTCTTTTGGAAGTATTCCTCCTGTAGAGGGACACGCCCGACTCAAGGCTAGGCCTCCGTCACAAGAAACATCTTGGCTCAAACGGCGGCGGC